GGACACAGGCTTCTGTCAAAAGTTGCATTTTCTAAGACAAACAAGGAGGTTCACACATGCTCCCTAATTATCTGAAGGTTTTGTGTAAGACAAAACTGTTTTGTTTGAGTTTCCAGACTCCTGCTCTCCTCTGTTTGTAGTTTGGCAAGACACTGCAGCACACCATCAACAATGTACTTATTCGGTTTATTTACGCTATTCTGCACTAGTCAAAAAGCCGACACATAAAACCAGATGTATTAACACTTTGGATATGCAAAAGCAATAACAGTCAATAAGAACTGTCAATTTTCACAGAAATACTTATCTCTGATCAGAACTTTCTTTTTTTGTACAACAACAAAAATTTTTCATGCTGAGTATAGAGCTGATTTTGGATTAAAGCAAGAACATCTTACTGTTACTTTGCCATGATGTGGTAAAGCCAGAGACATCTATTTCTACTTTCTTCCCTCTCGCCACCCCAACTAGACTTTCAGTGCCATCTTATGAAAGGGTGGAAAAAATACAGTTTTGAAAAACGAAAAATAGATACTTTTAAAATGAATAGCCCGATACTTTTAAGTGAATTTAATTATGTTCTATGACAAGCTTATGGGAATGAAACTGAACATTTATGTTGTTAGTCCACACTTTTTAAGGATAAAGAGAATGAAGAAAGAGTTTCAGTTGTCACAGAAATCCCAAACATATGTATACACATATATAAAAGTATAATGTATGTATTTGTATATCATATATATGTATGTATATATATATTAAAACCAGAAGTTGCCTTACTTAAGATTGCTCTGATAAAAGACAAAGCTAAAGTTTTCACTACTGTTATTGTTTATTTGATGGATATTAGGAATTTTGCATGGAGATGGGTATTTTAAAAATAACTCATATGGAAAATACCTCTTGGAAGGAAAAGCTATGAACCTCTGTAAATCTCAAGAGTTGCCAACTTCCACACCATTTCACGTGGAGGTAAAACAAGGTCAAAGAGCATTTCTGTGAAGTCAAAGGAGTCTTGCACCACAGTGCTTTTACACGTCACCGATCTGGATCCTTCAGGCTACAATTAGTCCAGAACAGATCACAGGTCACCACATTCCCATTGTGATCCACAACGAATCTTCCCACTACAAACTCCACCTATGATTTTGCTTGCAAAACAGGACAGAAGGAAGCTTTAGTGTTTACTACAAGTGGTAGTGTAGTTTCCTATGAAGAGCTGCTACAAGAGCCAGCAATGCACGAGGCACAGAAATTGCATTGGCATTACCAAGGGTAAGGCCTCTTTCCTGGAATGCTTTTAGACCTGGTGGAAAGGAGCTGAAAGATAAGACTAGGTCTTAAGAAACTTTACATACTGAGCCAGCATGTAAAAAAAAAGCTGAGGAGCTAAACTTGATTTGAGGGACCATAAGAATCAGCATCCCAAGAGGTGAGTCAGTGCAGAGCCACCAGTTTGGGAGAGCAGGAACCTCAGGTTCAGAAAATAAACCCCAGAGAGAAGTGTAATGCCTGCAGCAGAATTAGATGGACGGGAAATACTGCTGAGTACAGGAATTCTGTAGATCTGTCATGGAAGAAAAACAGCAGGGAGACTGGGAATGAACTAAGATTTGGCGGATGACGTAGGACACACAACCAGAAGACTGAGCTGTAGTTGTACAGATACTGGGAAGAGAACAGAGGCCATTAATTATTAAATAAAGGCACTCTGATGAAAAAGAGGGTGAGATAGTACCATTTAAAAAAATCATTTTATAAATTATAAATTTATAAAGATCACCACCACGATGGAGATCTGAATTACAATGTATTCCTTTAAGGATAAGAACTACTTGGGGTAGGGTAAGGGGAGGAAGTCATGGAAGAAGCAGAGGTAAACACTTTTCCTTTGCCCCAATCCTTGAATCTTCTTACAAATGTGGCAATGAGTATTTATCCATTACCCTTTTTCATGCCATATTTGGCATATGTGGCCTCAACTGTCAAGTTGGAAAAACCTCCAAGTCATAGTTTTGGATTCTGCTCCTGTGTGAATAATGCAGGTGCATGGAGATAAAATTTTATTTTAAACGGAGATCAAATTTTATTTTAAAAGAAAAAGTGTAGCTTTATGTTTGTTGACAAAGATAATACAATGCCAATATACCCTGGTACAAGCATTATTCCATTGCAGGAAAGAAGTTTACTACTCTGGATTTAACACTGGCACAGAGAAAGTAATTTCACATTTTGCAAAAATCAGTAAATATTTGAGCATATTGAGTATTCTCAGTGCTATGTAAATAACAGATTAAATAGACACAATATTCTATGCAGCTAATTTAATGCCCAAAAGAAATACATCAAAAGAATTTTAGATCAACAGCTCATTGTGTGCCATTATGAATAATGTGCTGAAATCTGCCAAGCTATTTTTGAACACTTTCAAAGAACTTCAGCAGCTGAGATGTGACTGAAGACATGTTGATATGTTTTCATTACAGAATTTACTTTACCAATCTGGCAATGTAGGCTTCTTAAATTAGCATTAAAATACTGCATCTTTCTTAATTGAATCCCTACATCCCCTTTTCAGCAGAAACACTCTACTTTACAATGACACAGCACGATTATCCTAAACAGCCCTTAGGGACAGGAGACAGAAAAGTTTTAGGACGTTTGCAATTCTTACACTGTTAGAGAAGACTTCCGAGTAGCCTGTGCACTTTCATCCAAAAGCTCAAGGTGTTAAATGTTTTTCTATTTGTCCTATACATCCACAGTTTAATATACAAGCATAAATGTCAGGTTGAGACCATTAATGTCAAGGTAAGGAAGTAAGCATATATTCTAGCACTTCATTATAAATACAGCTTTGCTAATATAAGGTAGGTTCAATAAATTTTTGTTTGGTTACATAGTCTTTTCAATTTTAATCTCAAGATATATTCAGTTTATATAAAGTTCCTCTGAAACTGGATCAGCCACAGGGTTTTCACTGATGTTTCAAAACACATTCTCCACTTGCAATTCTTGAAAACCACTGCAGTTAAGCAGTGACAAAGGAAGAACTTTATGATTTCAGCTGTGTATCAAAGGCTGAACTCAGGTTGTTTTGGAGCGCAAGGTATATTCCATCTATATTAAATGTAAATAGCAGAGGTTACTTTTTCTTACAGCGCAAAAAAAGCAGGGTGCGAGCTGACTGTGAAAAGCTCTTTCTTTTAGCAGTCAAAGGATCTGGGGGAATCTCAACAGCTCTCAAGTTAGTCAGAGGACCTTGAAAGAATGCCATTACTGTCAAGTCCTTCTGCATGTATTTTGGCACAAGTTGATTTCCCTATGCTGCTTTATGTTGGCACACTTTGTACACCAAACATTACATAACCTTCTGTCTAGCAGCATATCACCACCTATTTCCTGCTTCTTCTCTAAAATAAGGAAGCTTCTCTGCTTCAATCACTGTCTCAGTTATCTAGGGAATCAGTTTTGCTTACAAGGCAGTAGCCTAGAAGTCTGGACCAAGGTCTAGAGTACCTCCTCTAGAGCAACTTCCCAAGATTCACAGCAGGAAACTAACCCTAGTTACACAGAGCAGCCCAGGCTTGAAGGAACCCTTAATGTAGGTCAAGCCAAAGATACAGAGAGCTCAAATCAGTGTTTAGACCTAGAGAATTTATTAAGAAACATTCCATGATTAGTTCTAATTCAGTTGTACCATAAATTTAATTAAATCTGCCCATCTACAGAAGCTATCAGCATTTCTTCATTACAACACATCTCTTGAGGATTAATGCCTCAGATATGCTATTATTGTCTTTCTAACTTCAACAATGTTAACAACTTCAAACCAAAGAATTTAAGGGTGCAATCTACACTATCAGATTTGGATTCCTAGAGAACCTAGGAAAGAATTAAAAAACTGATAAAACACACATTAAAACAAAAGTATAAGTAACTATGTATTATTTTGTCACAGGAAGATGGTTTTGGATAGTAATAACTCAGCTTCTAAAAGGCATTACAATCACTTTTCATCAGACGTTTCCTCACATTCCAAGCTACAATTAAGCCATGTATTTTCCAGTGACACAAGACTTTAACAGCCACCTTTCTGCAATACTCAAGAGTTCAATTTCAAGGACAGGACTCTAATAACAATACACACTAACTAGCTTGTTTTCTTACCTTTACACATTTGTGTATTAAAAGACAGCAGGCATTAAATTACCTCCAAGACTTGTACAGATGACTAAACTATGAATAAGACAGCACACTACAGAAGTAGGAGGTTCTCTTGAGTTGTGTGAGGAGCCAAACATGCGGCGTGCTCAAGAGGTACTACTCTTCAAAAAACAAAACTTCCTCGGACCTAACATCGCAGAAGGCTTCTTGAAGAAGGCGTAACAGCCACCTGGAGTTAATCTAACTGCAGTCTGGAAAAGTAGCTGAATACACTGAGAAGAGTACGTTGGATGCACAATGAGCAACTTTTCAACTCCTGAAATACTTCTGTCTCCTTACACGCAACATCTAAGACTTAAGCACAAAAGCCTGCTTTACCAACCATCTCTAATATTTCCCTTTAAACTGTTTGCCGTTAGTAAGGCTGAAACTGGACACCCAGCACCTTCTCAGAACTTCCAACGATAACTAGGGCATCCACGATCTTTCCAAGCAAAGCTGTGAAGTTCGGCACCAAGGGCTCCCGCGCCATCGACCCCCTGAGCTTCCCACGGCCCGGGAACCCACTCGGCGAGACCCAATGCCGCTCCGCTGGGCGGGAGGCTGGGCGGGAAGGGGACGGGGACCACTGCGCACCCCGGGGCGGAGAAAGGTCTGGGAGGGAAATGCCTGGCACGCGGGGGGAGGGGGGCGGCACGTTTGCGGGAAGGCGGGAGAGGGGCCGGGGAAGGGCGGCCGCCCCACCGAGCCCCGCGTTCCCATGGCCGGGCCCTGCGAGCACCGAGGGCAGGACAGTCCCTTTCCCCGGGACGGGACGGGACGCGCTCCCTTACCCACGGTGGACTTGCAGGCCTCGCAGAAGGTGTCGTCGGTGAACCGCTCCATGAGGCTGGTCTTGCCCACCCCCCGCGACCCGATGATGATCACCTGCAGCTTGAAGTCGGCCGGGCGCGGCGGCTGCTTCCTGCGGCGGGACTGCCCCCCGGAGAGCGCCGGCGACCCCGCCGCCGAGCCCGCCCCGAGGTCCAGCCCGCCGCCCCCCGCCCTGCGCTGCGGCAGCCCCGAGCCCGGCTCCATCAGCCACGCATGCGGCGGCGCCGCGCTCCCTCCCCGCCCTCCCCGCCACCGGCGCCGACCACTGCGAGGCAGGGGGAGGAGGGGGCAGCGAGGACGAGACGCGACCGCCGCCCGGCCCTGCCCTGCCCGAGGGGAACGCGAACAGCCACAGGAACGGGAACTGCGCCGCCGCCGCCGGGAGCGGCGCGCCCAAGCCCGCGCCCGCCCGCGCAGCGCCCTCTGCCGCCCCGGAGCCGCGTCCCGCCCGCGCCGCAGTGCCGGGGGCGGGGAGCGACCGCCCCGGAGCGGCCCCTGGCGGGACCGCGAGGTCTCCGGCAGCGAGGGTGGCTGGGGGGCTGGAGCGTCCCGCTTGCGAGGAAAGGCTGAGCGACTTGAGCCTGTTCAGCCTCGAGTTGAGACAACTAAGAGGGGACCTTATTTATGTGTATAAATATCTAAAGAGGGCGTGCCAAGAGCACGGAGCCAGGCTCTTCTCCCTGGTGCCAAGCAATGGGACCGGAGGCAATGGGCAAAACTGATGCACAGGAAGTTCCACCTGACTACGAGGAAGAACTTTTTACTGTGCAGGTGACCGAGCACTGGGACAGATTACCCAGAGAGGGTGTGGAATGTCCCTCACTGGGGATACTCAAGAACCACCTGGACACAATCCTGTGCAAGGTTCCCTGGGATGACCTTGCTAAAGCAGGGAGGTCGGACCACATGGCCTGCTGAGGTGCCTTCCAACCTGACCCATCCTGTGACTCAGTGATTCTCTTTCACCTAAATTTATCTTCAGGGAGTCAAGCAGAGCCCTTGAGTGTGGCAGCACACGCAGGCCTAGGGTCAGTCGGGTTTGGATTTCACTGTCAAATCTGAACCTGGTACCCGCTGGCTCATGGGCATGGACCTTTTCATAACAACCTCCAATACCAGCTCAGTTGTATTCCAAGCAAAGGAAAACATGACTCTAGAGGAAGTAGAATAATAAATCACGTGAAGGAATAATTATCAGGATGAGTGTTACTCATTGTAATATTTGAGGAAATTTCTAACTCTCCAAGCACTGAGGACCAAGAGTTCAGAGAATAGAGATTTTTCAGCAGCAGCCAGAGGCAAAGAGCACAGAATCACAGAATGGTAGAATGGCCTGAGTTGGAAGGGACCTTAAAGACCATCTAGTTCCAATCCCCCTTCCATGGGCAGAGATACCTTTCACTAGACCGGGCTGCTTAGAGCTCCATCCAACCTGGCCTTAAACACTTCCAGGGACAGGGCATCCACAACTTCTCTTGCAGAGGTAGGAAGGATTCATGGTTTTAAATGAGATCTAGAGGTAGAGATAGCGTCCTTCTGAACACCAAAAGAAAGCTAGTGGAGATGTGAGAAAATTTGGTCCCCTTTTTTAGATTCTCACTAGCATTTGTAAGATAAGGAAATTCTACAAGGGAATGTCAAATTGGGATTTACATTTAAGAAATCATTGCCCTATAGGAATGATTTTCTCAACAGCTAATTTTCTTGAAACAAGACCATTTCACGGGATGGCTATGTTGTCAAGAGCAAAAAAGAAAACAACAACAAAAGCGACAGAAAAACCATTTTTCTTAATTGCCACTAGTTTTCATTGCCAGAATTACTGGCAGTCCTTCAAACAAGTAGAATAGTCTAAACCTTAAAACAGGCAAACCAGTTCCATAATTTCTTGTGCATTACTCTCACCCCCTCCTCTTCTTATTGATTATCCGTAGTACTATAATTAGGTATTTTGAAGGGGCAATCCATCTCTAAGAGTGAAATAATCTAGCAAGTAGAGCATCATAACAAGATAACCTTTTTGTTTTGAGTTGGGTTTTTTTATCCCTTAGGTTCTTCCTCTAGAACTATAATGTTCTCCAAAATCTGTAACTTTGATAGATTCTCAAGACTGCTTAGCTCTTCCTGAAGGGTGCAGAGCACTAGGTATGTTGTAGACATACAGTCTACAGTTGTAGACCGTTCCCCCACATTCATTATTGGTCATTAGAGGAGCCTCAGTTCCACATGCTATTTTGTGTTCTACCAATTCACTTTCAAACAAGCTAATTCAAGCAAATCTAGATTGACCACTCTATTTCGGTACCTGCATATAGATATTCAGCAACATCAATATTCATTTTCAGTCCTTCATTAGATAAACTGAACTGTGAATACCAGGCTTCAATTGTTTAGCCTTGAGTGGTTTGTATCTTCTGTGCAGCAGAAGAGCTTTATCCTGATTAGTCAACAGCTGCAGAAAACCCACAAACTTGAAGTGAATTCCTTTGTGCCTCCAGTTTGTCATGTTTAGCAATCTGTCACCAGCCATTGCCTATCTTCCTTTTTATTACTCTCTGGCTATTAAGTGGGGTCATCTCAGCAAGCATACATAGATTTATGTTAGCTAGTCTCTGGCATCCAGACTTTTCCTTCAGCATCTGTTTTCAGCTTCCCCACACTGACATGCGTAGTCAACTGCTGAGAATCATAGAATCATAGAATTGTTGAAGAGAATATGTCAAGTTGGGAGGGACCCATAAGGATCCAACTCCCAGCTCCTCACAGGACTGCCTAAAACTAAACCATGTGACTAAAGTTGTTATACAGGTGCCCCATGAACTCTGACAGGCTTGGTGCTCTGTCCACTGCCCTGGGGAGCCTGTTCCAGTGAGTGACCACAATCTCAGTGAAGAACATTATTCAAATGTCCAGTCTGAACTTCCACTGATGCAACTCTCTCGTGTCTCACTGGCACCAGTGAAAAGATCAGCACCACCCTCTCTGTTGCCTGCCTTCAGGAAACTGTAGACTGCAATGGGGTGCTCCCTCAGCCTTCTCTTCTGCAAGCTGAACAAACCAAGTGACCTCTACTGCTCCTCCTAAGTCTTGCCCTTGAGGCCTTTCACCATCTTGGTCACTCTCCTCAGGACACACTTAATAGTTTCATGTCTTTCTTGTATTGCAGTGCCCAAAACTGCACACAGGAGTCAAGTTGAGGCTGCCCCAGTGCAGAGCAAAGCGGGACAGTTCCCTCCCTTGACCAGCCTGATGGCCCCCAGGACACAGTTGGCCCTCCTGGCTGCCAGGGCACTGCTGACTCATATTCAGCTTGCCACCAACCCATCCAATAGACCAAAGACTTGCCATCAACCCAAAGCAACCAGTAGAGCAATAGATTCTTATTTGTCAAGATCAAACTAAAAATCTCAGGCAAAATATGAAGTATTTGGATGACTTGCAGTACTGCAGAAATGAGTTTGTCATGCCCTCAACTACTACACTCCAAAAAGAACGAGGTTTTTTTTTCCCCTAGTAGGTGGGTGTGGATTTTCTTTAGAAAACCGACAATACTATCAGTAGCTGCTGATGGAAAATGTTTCAAATAGACTTTCAAAATGGTCTTCTGAGTTTTACTGTTTTATATCAGACAACTTAATTTGTTGCTTGGAAGGAAGTTGAGAGACATTGGTGCCTTCATCTAGATTTCTTCCTCTCCTACCCGTGACAGAAGAGTCATTATAAAAACATGGAAAATGGGTTCTCTGGCTGTGCTAGAAAGAGATGATGTATAGGAAATGTAAAGTCTGATTCATGGCATAAAGAAATTATTCTGAATTAAGATTGAATATGATTTTAATTACTTGTATTCATCTCAGATGACTTTAACTTCTTTTAATTTTAAAAAATGTGTTTGATTTCAGGGATAGAAGGTGTTAGAATCTGAGCTGCATGGTTATAACATAGATCAATTTGACTGAGGGTGTGATTTTTTTAAAACCAAAATACTGTTATCATTCACTATGTGAATACTCTTTCTGTTATAATGAGATTTATATTGGTATGATTCATACACTTTCTCTAAATGGGAGCCTATATATATATATCATGTATTAAGTGCATGTGCGTCAGCAGAATCATATCTACCTACATACCTACATACATATATATATACACATAGGAATGTACTGATATTACTATATAAAATTTTTTGGTAAAGCTGTACAACTTTTATGGATATTCCGGCCTACCTTTCAACTCATTTATGTACAGAAATAAAAAATGACCATGGGGAAAAAAACCAATCAAAAACTAGCTCAAAAAGCAGAGAAAGAGATGAGATTTTGATTTCCTTGTAATTGTTTCGTGAAAAATAATCAATATGCTAGTAGGTAGTATAGTCTGAGTTGCAATGTTTTCATTACAAATTAAATTGGTATTGGCCAGCAGAAAAAAGCTTGGGGCAAAGCTCACGTAGTTGGTACAGCAGCAGGGATGAAATAGAAAAAGAGCTTCTGTCCTCTTGAAAACAAAGAAACAAAAGAAAAAAAAAAGCCCCCAAGCCCCCAAACTTCTCATTTTATTAATAAGCATTTTTATGGAATAAGAGCTATTTTAATACAGTATCCCGCTGTGTTCTTGTGGCAAATCTTAGCTAATATTTCCATCCCTCCTCTACATTTCAGGGACTCTTAGGGCAGCCAGTGCATGTGTTTATGTTCAGAAATGTGAAAGGAGCCGTGCTTCAATGTGACGAGCTGTTTGGAGATGTCACTTCGTGTTTGTACATTTAATTTCCACTGTACAAGTCTTCAGTATATGTTCCCTATATGTCATCTGTCATGCCCAGGTCTAAACTCTTTCTTTTCATGCAGGTTTTTTTGCCTTCTGTTGTGTCTTGTGCTCTTCTAGGTTTTATCCAGGTGAAATTTATTTCAGGAGAATTATTTAAAAGAAAATACATGAAGTATTCTTTTGGAGAGAGTGGGGAAAGCAGGGCTGACTGGAGTCTAGATCTGTGACTGTCAAACCCAGTCTCTCTAAGGTTGAAAGATATTGAAGAAGTATTGACCTATTGGTCATTGTTCCAGTGGAAGGGACTCTTGCTACTCAATGGAGTAGAGCATTATAGTTAATTTAAATGTCTCTTTAATCAATCTTTCTCACAGTCTGTTGCATGATACTTATACCATCACATCTCAATTATGTTACTATTATAATTTGTATTTTCAGTACATATCTAAAGGGATACCACTACGCCTATATTACAGATGGGAAACTGAGGCCTTGATATTTATGGCTGTGTACTCTTTTAGACTGATTTAAAAAAATCTAGATGATTATTTTATATGTTAAGTCTTGACTATTTCCTTCATGAA